TCATGGCTCTTAAGCCCATATCTCTTAGCCGTTGGCTCTGCCGTGTGTTAGGCGTCGATATAGTGGTAGTGTTTGTGAGAGAAGATTGTAATGTCTTTTTGGTCGGTTTGACAGTTCGGTACATATTGTGGATATCAGATAAGGCTGTCCGGGAACGGGTGGCCGCAGGTGTGCGTCCTTTGATTGGCCAATTCTCCTATCATTAAGACATTATAATGTTATTGTGATTATCATTAAATAGTTATTATATAAAAGCAATTAATCATTAAAACAATTGTTATAAAAATTATTGTCAAAACATAAGCGAAAGTGTTATTCAAATGGTGTTGAGAGTGAATGAAGTGTTTCTAGTTTTATATAAAGTTGTTTTGTTTTTATTGCTTAGAAGTGAATACCTGTCCAACACTTTTGCGTTGTCTTCGCAGACGTTTCAGATATCGGGTCCGTCGGTGATTGGCGGCGGAGTCGGTGCAGACAATGCGTTTCCAGCGTTGGCTAACGCAAGCCATACGGCATAAGTCGGGCGCCGATAAGTAGTTGAATATGAGATCCAATGGCGGCTGATATCTGTCGGCCAATTGGGAGATAATGTCGACGAATTGGTCCACATTCTCGATGTCGTAGAAGTCTTCCTCCGATGCGATGGACATTGTTTTCGGTGATTATTATTACAAATATTAAAACGATTGATAAAAATACAATGAATTTAATNTACAATGAATTTAATGAATGAGTTATAAAAGCGATGTTTAAATGCATTTAAAAATTAAGTAGAGTTTTGAGTGAATGAGTGATTGGTTTGAGTGGTATTTGAAGATCACATTTGCATTGAGTGTTGGCTTTGCGTTAAATCAGTGCTCAATAGACCACTACATCGACAGCCGAGTCGTCGGATGTCTTAATCCTTTAACGTTATAACAGTTGTTGTCGTCGTTTATCTGCAGATAACGAGTGCTTACGAGTGGTTCCCATAATAATAAGCAATACATCTCTTGTTATAACAAATAATAACACAATTTCTGTCTGTTTTCTGTGTTTGTTATCAAAGAGTTGTGTCAAACAAAACGCCGACACTTTTCGTTCAACCATTCATTTTACTCGCAAACTCTTTAAATGTTTACACAAACGATGTCTATTGGCTCTCACTTTAGCCAATCAATCGCTATTTCATCGCTCGACCAATGGGTGACTTATAGTTCCCACGCCTAATGTTTTGGTACTTTTTATGCCTATTAAAGGGTTATAGTTATCAATGTGTATGAAATGCACTGAAATGGGACCGAATGTGCGGTTGTATTGACTCATGTTATGTGCAATACGTTTGTAAAGCATTGATGTTTTGGTAAACATTTCGTAACGATTTGTAAATCAATTTTGAATTGTCTTTTCGTTGGAAGAGTTGATAACTGAAGAGATCTGATCACCTGATTATCAGCTCTTGTGTTATAACCGACACAACAATACAAACAAGCGATGGATCCAAACGCTGGCAAAGATCAGGCGTCGGTTCAGCCCAAACAGCCCATGGTTTACATCTGCGCCGGTAATTGTCTCGTCCATTGTCTCATCTGATTGTCTCTAATCTGATCCGTGTTTGTGTCCACTAGAGTGTCATCACGACAATGAGATCAAACCTAAGGACCCGATTCGGTGTCGAGAGTGTGGCTACAGAATCATGTATAAGAAGCGCACCAAACGATGTAAGTCTTGCACACACTTCTGTGCATCACTTTATTTGTTCCCAATTTTTAATTGCATATAAGATTCGCATAGAATTTAGACAACAGTTTATATCACAAATTGATTGATAAAAATATATTATAAATTAATTAAATTTCTATTTTCAGTGATAGTATTCGACGCGCGATAGAGTGTCCGCTCAGTCCAACCGATGTCCTAATTGTCAGTTGAGTGTTATCTCCGAGAATATTGTTTGGACATCATATGTGAACTCGTATTCAGACATCATATCCTCCACTTGCTATCAATCACACAATTGAAATGAATTGTCAATTATTTTATGTATAAAATTATTAAATTATAAAATTAACCGCAAATACTATAGTGTAGTAATCAATTCAAACAAATGCTTACTTTCTTGACATTAGTCTTCAGCATATCTTCCCTCAGACTCAACAAAGCGACCAAATGCTCGGCCCTTACGTCCGGATATTTCTTAACCAAACCCTAGATTTAAGATTTATAAATTCATATCAATATAACTTACGAAAGGTATATAATGTGGTCAATGAATGACAATGAATGGTCACTTACCGACACTTCGAGGAATAAGAGACTCAAGTCTTTGAGTTTTAATAGTTCGGCCAAAAGTGGAAGACAATCAAACGGTGACTCATTCTGTTTGAATCAAATGTAAAGTTTAATAAATTGCATTTCATATACAGACAAGTAAAACGAGTATCTATTTAGTGTGTATTTATGAACACATGAAACTTACAGTCATATTAGCCATGGATTTAGTGGGCATTTTAGCGACGGCTGCCTTTAGTATCTCTCCTTCTCTTATAAACTTTTTAGCGAATATTTCTCTTTGGCTCTGATTTTTGAGTTGCATTTTTCTGCGATATTAATATCAATGCATTACTACTTGAATACAAGATTTGAATTGAAAATAGTGTTACTTTTGCAAAATGGCTGTTATATATCCTTTCGCTAATCGGTTCTGCAATAAAGTCTTGAGACGATCGGAGTTTTCCTCTTTCAAGTACTCATAATCTCTAAAATAGTCTTCAAGTGTTAGACATATGTTTTCAATGACACTAATCTTGGAGTCGAACCACTCTTGAGAGCCCACTTTCATGATCTCTCGGTCCACGTCTAGGAATATCTCATACAATAAATGTCCGATACTTTATGTAAAGAGTTTTAGAGATTAACAAATGATTGGATAATTGCTTCCTATAATCGCAAACCTCTCCTCTTTGAGTCTCTCGAAAGACTTGACCACATTATCGAACACTTTCTTCGCCTCATTATCTGTTGCCATACTTTTATCACTTTTATATTCTTGTCTGAAGTTCACCGCAATTTCGCTAAAACTCAGACAATTGTTTGTGATTGCGATCTATTAACACAAAACTTGTTAGAAAGTGAGTGAGTGAGTGAGAGAGAGAGACAAAGAGGAGAGGTTTGCGATTATAGGAAGCAATTATCCAATCATTTGTTAAT